CTACTTTCCACTTTCTCAACTTATTACCATTCATTTAATTCAATCCTTGATCTATGGCCCTGTTTGGTAGGACTTATTTTCAGTTTATTTTAATTTTTGGTTTAATTTAAGTTATTTTAATGTGTTTGGTTCAGCTTAACAATACAGTTTATAATTTTTTGTAAGTCAAAAATCAACTTATTCTTTAAGTGGGTGAGGAGAATCTTAATTTATAAGTCAAAAATCAATTTATATTCATAATTATAAGCTGTTAAGTTATAAGTTATAATCATTTTTCCACAGCTCTACCAAACGGGGCCATAGTCCCTTTTCCTTTTTCTTTTTTTTTTTTTTTTTTTTTTTTTTTTTTTCATCACTACTTTCCACTTTCTCAACTTATTACCATTCATTTAATTCAATCCTTGATCTATGGCCCCGTTTGGTAAGACTTATTTTCAGTTTATTTTAGTTTTTGGCTTAATTTAAGTTATTTTAATGTGTTTGGTTCAGCTTAACAATACAGTTTATACCTTTTTGTAAGTCAAAAATCAACTTATTCTTTGAGTGGGTGAGGAGAATCTTAATTTATAAGTCAAAAATCAACTTATATTCACAGTTATAAGCTATAAGCTATTAGGCTATCAGTTACAATCACTTTCCCACAGTTCTACCAAACGGGGCCTATATCCACTATTATCATCAAGCACTGCCAACAAAAAAATAATAATAATAAAATTGTCTAAATTGTATCCACTATTATCATCAAGCACTGCCAACAAAAAAAAAAAAAAAATTAAAATTGTCTAAATTGTTTCTATTTGGTTAGTTTTAACTAGGCTGGAATTAATATCAAATTAAAATTTTAAATTGAAACAATTAAAAAATTAAAATTTAATTTGTTATCTCAGTGCCAATCTTGATTTATTTATTTATTTGGATAAATTACATTTACCTTCCCTGAGATTTCTGACAAATACAGGGATCTCCCCTGTGATTTTAATAATTACAGAAACCTCTCCTACTTTATTTGACAATAACAAGATTCCCCCAATCCGTCAATTTTACATAAACGACGTTACTTACCTATACAAAATGACTTTATTACCTTTTTATTTGAGGGCAAAAAGATAAAAATACCCATTGATCTTGTCAGTTTTGTTAACCCCACCATATACGAAATGATTTTTTTTTTTTTGTTCTCTCTCTGTTCTTGTATGCTTTATGTGCAAATACTAGTCCAAGTTACATCTTCTGGGTTACTATGTTAATCTACACAGAAGTGTATATCTTGCTTCAATATCTGTATTCTTAACTCCCTTTTCAATCCCATCACCACCACTATCCTCCTCCACTACTACCACCTCCCTCGCCACTGTCCACCACCGGCATGAGCGGTGGCGACGAGTGGAACAAAGCTTGAGAGTCCGCCTGGCTCCCCGACATCGACTGACCCATATGGGAGACCGACTGACTCCTGACCCCTATGGGAGACCAACATCAACTTCTCCAACGACGGCAACCCTTTTGCCGCCACTCCTCTCCTCCGACATCGACGCCGAAACGAAAGTCTTCGTTGAGGACACACCACTGCCTCCCTCTATCCAGAAATCTCCCTTCACTCCCTCTCCTCCACCATCCGCTGCTCACTTTTCCTCTCTTCCTTCTCTTCTTTTTCTGAAACCCTAACCCTAGATCTATAGTTTTTAGAGCGATGGTAAGCAGTGATGGCAGCAACGTTGGGTTGCAATCTTGGTTTGTGGTAGTTGGTTACGATCTAGGTCGCAATCGGGAGAAGAAGAAGAAGAGGAAGAGAAAGAGAGAAGAGGGACAAATAACTAGAGAAAGAAATGAGAAGAAAGAGATGAGGAGGCTGGAAGGGGTGGTGGATTCAGAGGGACCCAATTTTTGCACTAATCCAGTACCTTATTTTCTTTGGGAGATCATGGCTATGGTTTGATTTTGATTTCTATTGGCTTTGATTTTGCACTAATTTTTGTTGGGAGGTGGTGTTAATGGTGGCTATCCAACTTCTCAACTGAGTAATTGTGGATTAAGGCTTCAGTTGAATATAAATATTTACATCTTCACCTATTCAATTTTTTGTTTTGGGGGGTTGTAGAGTTTTGTAATGTTAGTTTTTTTTTTTTTTTTTTTTTTTTTTTTAATTGGGAGGTGTTTCAGTGGTGAGTGTGTGCAGTGGTAGTGGTGGTTTGGAGGTTACAGAGCTAGTAGAGCTTGGGGTTTGACTGATGGCGTAGTTAAGCTAATAACAACGATGGGCATGTTATGGGTGTTGTGTTGTTGTTTCTATAACAATGATAATTATGAGTTTTTTTTTTTTTTTGCTGTAGAGAAAGCAAAGGGAAGAGATAACACTTAAGGAGATTGGATTAGGTGTTGCAAGGTCTATTGTTTGGTATATATAGATGAGTTCAAGATATTTGAGGGCATTATGGATATTTTGATATATCTTTGATGACATAAGTCACTTCTGTTAGTTGTGTAAACAGAAGTTAAAAAATGGAAGAATCTTTCTATTGTCAGATAAAATATGAGAGGTTTTCATAATTATTAAAACCATAAAGAAGGTCCTTGTATTTGTCAGAAACCTGAGGAGAGGTAAATGTAATTTATCCTATTTATTTTCTTTTTTTTTTGTAATTATTTAATATAAAAAAAAACAATTGTGGGCCATGGAAAAACACGTATATGTATGACGTGACGAAGACCAGCCCGTGCAGGTGGCGTGCCACGTTGTGATTCGGCGTGCCGGGTGACCCATTCACCCAGTCGTCTCGTCTCACAACACGTAACAAACAGCAAACAAACTCGTGAACCCCCTAACCACCCTCACCCCACCCCACGAGCCCAACTGGTCCGAACCCACCTACAACCCCAAGGCACCACCACCCTCACCCCTCTCTCCTCTCCGCCGATGGCTTTCGAAGACGAACACACCGTCTACGGCGGCGAAGAAGACCTCGACGAAGACGACGATGACGAGAGCGAAGACCCCCCACCTGACCTCGACGACGACGACGAAATCGAAGACGAAGAAGAAGAAGACGACGACACTTCCTCCTCCAATCTTGCTCCCGGTGACCCCCCTCCTCCTCCCTCCTCCGTCGCCGTCACCGTCGCCATCGCCCCTAAACCCTCTCCCTCTACCCCCACCACCGCCACCGCCACCGCCACCGTCGCCACCGTCTCTCTCCCCGATCCGAAGCGTCAACGCATCGACGACGTCACGATCGCCGCCGTATTCGAAGAGAAGAAGCCTCTGGCGGTGTTGGACGATTCGCGGAGGCTGTTTCAACGGCTTTGGACTGATGAGGACGAGATCGAGCTTTTGCAAGGGTTTCTGGACTACACGAATCAGCGAGGGGGAGGGAATTCGTCTCACCATCATGATACTACGGCGTTCTATGATCAGATCAAGAGCAAGTTACAGCTCGAATTTAACAAGAATCAGTTGGTGGAGAAGCTGAGGAGGTTGAAGAAGAAGTACCGGAATGTTTTGAGTAAGATCGGTTCGGGAAAAGAGTATGTATTCAAGAGTCCTCACGATCAGGCTACTTTCGAGATCTCTAAGAAGATCTGGAGCTCCGCCGCCGATCGCGGCGGAGCCGGTGGTGGCGCCGGAGAAGAAGGCGGATTGGAAGATGATGAATCAAACCCTAACCCTAACCCTAATGCTAATCCTAATTTATTTGATCACAATAGTAACGGTGTTGTTGATCCTAATAGTTCAGAGAAGAAAGGGTCGAGGTCAAGAAAACGATCGAGAGTGAAAATTGAGGAAAAACACCAATTCATCAATCAACAACAGCCTCAACAACAGAACGCAACTCCGATTGCTGCTGCAACTGCGACTTCGATTCCGAACTTGATTGAGGAGACAGTGAGGAGCTGTCTATCCCCATTGTTCAAGGAGTTGCTTCACAATGCCATGAATGGGGCGGGTGGTTCGCGGGGGTTCGGAGCTGTGGCGGCATTGAATCCAATGCCTTTGAGCTTCGGGAGCCCTGCGCCGTTGAATTTTCCAGGCGGTGATTCGATGGATGAGAAGTGGAGGAAGCAACAGATATTGGAATTGGAGGTGTATTCAAAGCGGTTAGAATTGGTGCAAGATCAGATTAAATCGGCATTGGAGGAGCTAAGGTCGATTTGAAGTTGAACTGGATTTGAGTGGTAAGTGCTTGGATTTTTGTAAAAGTTTTTAGTTCATAAATTTGTGGGTCATATAATCAATGGTGAATAGTGTAGTGGGTAATTGCAGTCTTGTTCAGATTTGATCTTTTTGGTTTGTTTTAACTTATTCACAGTTGTTGGAATAATTTTATATCTATTTGCTTGGTCTTGGATAGTTTGTTTAAGTTACTTAACATTGTGCATACATAGAGAAATTTATGTGATTTTTATGTGAACTCATGTTTCAAATGCTGTAATTGATGGATTCACATTTTGCCCATGTTATTTGTTACAGTTCTTTAAAATTTATTTCATGAGCAAATATTTGTGGCATCTGATGGTGGGTTTGCTGTTAATTTGAGGTGGGATTTTTTGCATCACCTGTTTTTTGGAGGCTTAGATCATTGAAACCTCCAAAAATAGGAAAAATAGGGTACTGTAATAAATATGTTTGGGGAATTAGATGGTGGGTACAGCTTGGGTAGCGCATGGGTACCTATCAAGTACTTTTGTGGATGTGTTGAGGCATAAATGTCATTTTTGTAATAGAAAAGAAAAAAGTATAGGGGTACTGAAATATTTATGTTGAGTTTATTCTTAAAAACTTATAAGACTGAAGGGTAATATCACAAATTTGAGAGAACTGTTAGTTCTCTGTAGTCTTTACTTTACAAAGTGAGCGATCATATCTTTCTCTATCGGTTGAGCTTCTGTTTATCTCCCTCAGTAATTTCTCTTCGTCGTTGACATTAAACTCTAATTTGAATTTTGCTTTAACTATTTTTAGCATTTGATTTCTAATTGGTATATATCATGTATTATTACAAGTTACAAAAATATTATTTTTGTGGACATATACCTGTTACCTGTATCTTTTTATTTTTAATTTTTTTAAAAAAAATTCCATATTGACGTACTCATACCAACATGTGTATTTGTATTATATCCATCTGTAGGCTGTAATTGATGGTCGGCTTGGAGGGTAGTTGCTTGACCCAAAAAAAGGTGACTGTCAACTGTTTTTCACTCTTTTCAGTGTAGTTTGGCATTTTGTTGGCTTGTCTCAGAAAAGAGACTGCAGTAACTCAACGCCTTGTAAAATTTCTTAAGTTTCCTTGTAGTTAGCTTTATTGTTTAGTTTAAGGTTGTCTGAGCCGGGGTTCTTCCTGTGATTTAGGTCTAGAAAAGGTTGTAAATTTATCTTATGTATCAACTGGGTATAGGAATTTATGCAAGATTATCATGCTTGTAATCTTACTTATCAACTTTTTTTTTTTTGTTCTAAAAGCATGTTGCTTGTAATATTGAGAACTATATAATTGTATAGTGGAAAAAGGCTTAGAAAAAGTGTGACGTATTGAAGGAATTAAAATCAGTAACAGGCACTGGAATACCTTTGAAGATAGTCCAACTGATTTAATAAAAAACTAAATTAAAATTTGATATAGAAGCCAAAAAAGAAAAAAAAAATTAAAAAAAAAGGTGTTTTGTTGGAGGCTGTGTTACATGGACTCTTCAAAATTAATCAAATACCTAAGACACAACACTTGGACAAGGGTTTGGGATATGCATTTGATACTTTTCATCAAACACTTCTTATATATTTGAATTTAATTCCATAACTATGTGTATAACTGTTATAAAATGAGTAGAAGGCCTTTTTAACATTGTATGTTGTATATAACATCATTTAATCTCATATTATAGATTAAAAATTATTAAAAATGAGCCTTTTTCGCTGAGTCCATGTACCTTTAAATTTAAGGTTTGATGGGTCCGACTTCTAGATACGCACCTGTACCTGACACATGTACCCTAGTTCATATAACATAGGTTAGAGGGCCATGGGGGTCAAGTGTTTGAAGGATATTTGGTTTGGAGTTTGTTTAGCATTGTTGCAAAGAGGTGGGTTGAGAAATATTTTTATGGTTGGAATCAGTCCCTTTTGGCTCATTGGCAGGGGTGTGGGAAGGTGTTTTTAGTGCTCTTTGAGGCTTTACTAGTTAGATATGAAGAGAAGGGGATGGTGTGATCTTGTGAAACAGAATTTTGGTTTTTTCGCCCCTAATGAAGTTCATTCTTCTCGGCCTATATCAGATGTTGGGTTCTCTTGCTTCATTAAAGTTAGCATTCTTGCGCCCCATATAACTGTGGCTCATCTGATCTGATAAATAGAAATTAAATAATTCTATGTCCAAGTTGAACATTGAATCAATCGTTGATATCCTTTTTTTTCTGTTTATTTCTTTTTCTGGTTTGAGTAATCGCTGTTTAAGTTTATCTGGGGATGCTCAGCTCAGTGATAGGTGTAGCCTGTGGGTCATCATGGCTTGCTTCTGGCATTTGTAGCAATGAGCTCTGAAAGCTGGAAGACATAAGAAATTTAGAGTGAAGACATTCTGTGACTTCTGAGAATGAAAATTTTTGGAGCTGAAGTATCCTTTTCTGAAGAAGGAAAAAATTAGGCTTTGTGTTAGTATGTTTATTTACCTTTTTTTGTATGTAACTTGTACCTCCGTCGTTTTCTTTGAATAATATTTATTTTGAGAGAGAAAATGGCTTCGGAGTTGTATATATGTATTTTTTGTTTTTGTTTCCAATGGATAGGAAGGGAATGGGAAAGAAGACTTAGAAGAGTACATTCGAGCACAAACATCGCGTTTGGTAAGGGGGCACCTTGGCCAACCGTGTTGGACCTTATATTTGATAGCACCGCATGTTTGGCAAGACCTTGTATTTCTTGATCAAACCATTTTAAGATTTCTGTTTTGGGGAGTTGTTATTTATATAATTATAGATTTAAGAATGTTAGCAAAAATGGATATATGGTTAATTACATCAGGTTATTATACTTGCGCTTAGTGTCTGGTCTTTTATCGTTTATCAGAGTTTGTTAAGATCTCGCTTGAGAATATATTATTTTAGCAATTTTTTGGTTTTTAACGAAAATTTGAAAAAAAAAAAAATAGTATTTTGAGATGATTTTTTGACTTTTTATGGTGTAAAAAACAGAGAGAAAATAGAATATTTAACTTTTTGATATAATTTGTTGATTTTTTTTATGTTTTTAGTGATTTTTTTACTTTTAAATTCAAATTAAATGTTTTTACCGATGATGTGTTGTAGTTGAACAGTAGTTAGCAAATTTGAAATCATTTTTATTTGTTTTTAGTTACTTATTAATCATATAGGCAACCACACTTAATGATCATCATGGTGTTTGGGATAATAGTATGCAAAGAGTATCTTCATTTGTTTGTCAGTTTAATCATTTTGTTTACCATGGCATTCGCTATGGGAATCCCCATTTTCCCTATTAATGTGTTTTTTTCTTTTTCTTTACTCTCAACCTTTGTTTTATTTTTATTTATTTATTTATTTATATTTTTTTTGAGAATCTCAACTGTGAAGCATTAGAATTTCTGTTACAATTAGGGCTACAGAGGTTAGGGGCATGGGTTGTTTTGAGAAGATGGTTAAAAGTTGATTTTTTTTAATTTTTTTGATTTTTTTAAAAAAAAAAACTGTGTAAAAAATGTGAGAAATGATGTGATTCAAAATGGGTTAAAAGCTGAAAGGTAACTTTTAACCATCTTTCTAAAATAGTCCTCTATCTCATAAAAGTTATATTCTATGCTTCTTATATTTATTCTTCTGAGAACTTCTTTGTCCATTTTATAAATTTCTCATAGATCAACATTATAGAAGAATATAAATGGATGAGAAGGGTGTGTAGATAAATTTAAAATGTATATTTTGAAGCTCCCATGTGTTTCCTCATTACATGTGTGGGGATATTTACAAAAAGTTTTCACTTATTTGTATTTACTTTTCCATTTCACCATTTATTTGATATTTTCTCAACACAAAATAGTAATGGGCAGTTAGATATTTTCCCAACACAAAAAAATAAAATAAAATAAAAACTTGGCCATAAATTTCTCTTTTTTTCTTTATTCTTTTAACAACTTTTAGAGCAATATCTATTTCTTTATGTAATTATATTGGCCAATGCCATTAAAAAAAAAATGAATAATTTTGTTTAAAAACATTTAAATCTAACCATGCACAAAATTGGGTTGTTTAATTGTCAACCTTAGTCACCATTTTAAAGTTGAGAATGCTCATTTATTTCTACAACAAAGCCTAATTATGTGGAATTATAAGTTGTTTGTAATTATATTGACCAATAAAACTGGAAAAGCAATTTAAAAAGATAATCAAAACATGAAATTATTCATCGTGTCCACGACAAAGTTTAATTGTGCACACAATTTCTAACTATTTGCACACATAGCTTAGACTTTATTATTTGTATAATAAAATATATATATTTTTAAATTTCTTATTCATTGTATATGTTTCTTGAAATATATTAAAAAAGATAAATCAAAAATATAAATTTATTTAAAAAACAAATATATAAAATTAAAGTTATGATATCTTAAATTTTAAAAATTAATAATAGTAAATGAACTAAAAAAAGGCAGAATAATAAAACAAAAATTAATATTGAGGAGGATATGTAATACTTAGAAATATAAGATGAGGTATAAAATATTTAAGGGTGAATTACACTGGCCTCCCCTGAGGTTTCTGACAAATACAACGACCTTTCCTATAGTTTCAATAATTACAGTAACCTCCCCTACTTTACCTGACATTCTCTAGATTCCCCCTTTCTGTCAAATTGGAACTAACCGCATTATTTTTTCTATAATAAATGACCTAATTGCCCTTCCATTTAAAATATTAAAAAATATTTTTGGAATGGAAGACATGTTTGGAAGAAACGAAAAGCGTTTGAAACAATATTTTTAGATTTATTTTTTTAAAATATTAAAAAATGTTTAAGAAAATTTTATTTTTTATTTTAAATATATAATTTTTATTTAAATATTTTATTTTAAATATTTTATTTTATTTTGTAAATATTTTAATTTTTTAATTTTAAAATTTTAAACTCAAAATACATTTCCACACTCATATCATAACCAAACATATAACTCAAAACTCAATTAAAAAATTATTTTCAAACCTCATAACCAAATACATAACTCGAAACTCCACACTACTTTCAAAACTCTACACTCAAATCGTAATCAAACACATAAGAAAAAAAATTAAAATATTTAAAAATATATTTATATAATAAAATAAAATATTTATAATAAAAATTATATATTTAAAATAAAAAAAAAATAAATAAATTTGCCCATATCTTAGTCCCATTTTCTCCCTTGGAAGGGGTGTGGTGTTGAGTTGGTATTGCAACAATTCAAGTAAGGCAAATTGTGAGTTTATATATATCTAAGTTTTGGGAGTTTTCAAAATTAGTTTTACTTATTTTTTAAGAAAATTTATATCGCCTTACTTATGAATCTTATATTGGAAACTGAGAGATTTGAAAATAATTTTTTAATTGAGTTTTGAGTTATGTGTTTGGTTACGATATGAGTATGGAATTGTGTTTTGAGTTTAAAATTAAAAAAATTAAAAAATTTACAAAATTAAATAAAATATTTAAAATTAAATAAAAATTATATATTTAAAATAATTTTAAAAAAAATTCTTAAACATTTTTTAATATTTTTTATAAAAAATCCAAAAATACTGTTTCAAACGCTTTTTGTTTCTTCCAAACATGTCCTCCAATCTAAAAACATTTTTTAATATTTTAAAAGGAAGGGCAATAAGGTCATTTATTATAGAAAAATTAACCCCGTTAGTTTCAATTTGATAGAATGGGAGAATCTGGAGAATGTCAGATAAAGTAGGGGAAGTTCCTGTAATTATCGAAACTACAGGAGAGGTCGTTGTATTTGTCAAAAACCTCAGGGGAGGTCAGTGTAATTTACCCAATATTTAATATATTAGATAGATGTAGGGATGGCCACGAGTCGGGTTTGGAAACCTATCCCCACATTGAGAATGGGGAAAATCGGGAGGTAGGGTAAGAGACGAGTTAATTTTGTAAGTTGAAGAATGATAATATTAATAAAAAATATAAATAATATGATGTATTACTGATAATGATTTGTATTTAATAAGAATTATAAGATATAAGATAAGAAAAATGAGCAAAATTTAAAATTAAGCATAATATTTTAGTGTTTAATTTATTAAAAATAAGTAAATTGTATATTATATACATATAAATATATTTAATAAATATAATCCAGACGGAGAGGGTAGAACATGATGAGGGAAGCAAAACCCGTCCTTGCGCCACTTTTTCATCGGAGTGGGAAAGCCCTTGTGAGGCATGACGGGAGATGCGGGAGAAAACGACAATCCCTAAATAGATATATATATATATATATATTGTGGAAGATAAAAAAATAGTTTTGATTATTAGATGAAAACTAAATCTATATAAATGCCGGGAGACACAATATCATTGGAGATGATATTGTACATCCTTTTGTTTGCACCCATTTTTGTAACTTTTCTGTCGACAAGAAATGAA